CCAGCAACATATTTCCCTACCAAAATATATATAATAGTCTTATATAATAGTATTATATATTTTACGTATACTTATGTAAAATACCGTTCCCTAACCATGTATAGAGGAAAAGAAATTGAAATTTGGCGAAATATATGTTTCTTGCCACGCTTTCTTCAACATTTATTGTTTAGAAAAAAATTGCATTCTGATGGCGGAATATATATTTTTGTGAAATACACCCGAGTCTTCTTATTAATTGGTTTATTAGCTAGGAATGAAGCTTCACTTCGCCGTATTTAAACAAACGTTTATTTCCGCGAAAGAAACCCCATACCTCACGAATAAATTTTCGAGTCTCTTTTTCCTCAGTGCACCTCTCTGACCGCGTTGGCTTTCACAAATTCGCCTGTACAATTGTGTACAAATGGTACACAGATCGGAAAACCTTTCCAATTACTCGAGACGAAACGATTTCGCAGTGGGCTCGCGACGTGTTTGAGATTTTCTCTCGCTACACGCTGAATGATCGAACGTATTCCGGACACCATCGGTCGCAGCTGTCTGCAAAAATGACGCGACGATCCGTCACGAAGTTTCGGAAGGTTTATTCGACTTTCGAGCGTGAGACGTGTCGAGAAATGTATAACAGCGAGAACAAAGTGACACGATGTGACAAGAGGGACACATTTGCGTGGGGCGCGAGCGTCTAGTGTTGCGTTCGCGATCTTCGCCGGGAGCTAAGTAAGCAAACTGCTAATCGCAGATACGTGCCTTCGCTCGAACACAAAGGGTTTTGCGGAGATCGGAGATCGATCAAGAGGTGGATTCGCGGAATCAGGAATCCACGATATGACGAGGGACCCTCTCGGGAAGGAGATCTACGAAATTAATCATTGAAAAGCTTAATTTGCTCCAAACTTAATTGCGACTCGAAAACTATTGGTTCTCCTTGAGTACAAGACGCTCGCATACACACATGAGTCCGTATTAATTAACGGACATTAATGGACTTAAAACTTGTCCCACTTGTGAAACTCAAGTCAGAATTTAGGCCTGCATTAATAGTCGTTACTTGAAACTTGTCTCACGTTGAGACACTCGGGATTTAGAATTAAAAATTTGAGATTCTTCGTTTAAATCGTGTAATATCTGTACTGACTTCGCATCTGTGTAATCGCGCGTTCGGCCGAAAAACTCACCTCCGATTCTAAATTCTAATTTGAATATCTCACTTGTGAGGCGAGTTTCGGGTGACGACTATTAATATGGCTCCTTGGACAATATTTATAGTCAGATTTTATATTTAGGATCGTCTTTATCTTTAAACGTTATCTCATCAGCTGAGAAGCATCTGAACACGAATTAAAAACGATTTCAAATATAAGATCCGACTATGAATACCGGTCTTACAGACAGTTAGATCTGCACTTTTCCGTTGAATCGTATGATACGCGTCACATTATATTTGTAATCGCGATTCAACTAACTTCAAGTTTACGCTTAACTCCTATATTCTGAGTATCTCATTCGAGACAAGTTTCAAGTAACGATTGTTTATACAGGCTTTACGCGAGTGTAATTCCTGTAGTTATTTTCTAGTCCTAACATAAAAAAAAAAAGAAAAGAGAAGAACAAGAGATTCTCATGAAGCGACGAGACATCTCGCGTCGGATCGCGTTCGAGAAATTCGCGAAATTGAGGTTCTAATGAAATATATATCCTCCACACGCACACACACACACACACATACATACATACACAAGTCGGACGCTAATCGAGTGCGATGTAACAAATTGGCGCATGTTTATTGAGCGGAAATGACGAGGATTCCTATTACCGCTCGACAAAGTAGCGAGAGAATAAGAGTTATGTATATCAGAGTGGACGTCCGTGGCAGAGAGACGCTCTCATGACGAATTACAACGGTAAGCTTCTCAGGTGAAAAAGAAAATCATATCAAAGTGCTGGGAAAATGATCGAATCGTGATCAAAAGAAACGCATTCGAAATCGGTGACGCATTCGAGATAATCGAAATCAGAGCCGGAGTCGAAGCCCGCATTCATCTGTCACGTACCGTGCATGTTTTGTATAATTGCGAGTTCTGGGTTTTCTGCTGGGTTCACGTTGATTTAGGTTTTAGGGATTCTTTTTTCGGGACAAGGCGGGTCCATTGTCAAAACGACCGGGGAGGGGAGGCAGTTTCGGGGAATCTCGACTCGCTTAGGGCGCAAGCTTGCTTCGCACTTTTTCTTCGTTCGGCTCGGAAATCGCGCGAGAAACGCGGAAAGCTTTACCGGCGCGGCGAACTTTCAACCGGCCAGCCAGTTCCGCTAATCATGATACGTGAGTCGGAGATGAAAGAGGATCCGGGAATACGTGGGCGTGAGCTGCGCGAGATGGGAGTGCAAAGAGAACTGAAAAGGGACTTGATTCAGGATTAGAGATTAAGCGAGGAGGGAGGATCCACGCGGTTAACGAGGCACGCTGCCATTAAGGGAGAACTTCGCCAATTATGCGTCTTTTTTCTTCCGTGAAACGGAAGAGAAGGCATATATATATGTGTACACACACATGTGTCGCGGCGCCACGGAATAATACCGCCGTATGTTTGGTTTAGCCGCGGAATTTCTGCCGGACTTGCAATTAGAACTTCTCGTGCGAGCGCGTTCTCCCGTTTCCTCCTCTGAATTTACCCGTTCGTTATCGACCAAATAATCGTTCATAATTTGCCATTTTCCTCTTACTTCCGCGCGTGCGTGAAGTAATATAAACATATTGCTGCAAAAGAGGAAGACAAAGACAATGAAAGGAGGAGAAAGAAATAGAAAAGGGCGGGAGGGAGCGAGTGAGGGGGAGAGAGTTATTAACTTCTTTCTTTCCACTACCCATTCTATAAATGGTAAAACGATTTTGTATTCTCATTATTCATACCATATTAATAGTAAAGAGAACAAAATCCTTTCACTTTTCTTTTTCTTTTTATTCTATAAATAGTAGAAAGATTTGCAATTTTCATTTTCGCTTCGTAGAATGAACAGTGAAGAGACTTTGTTCCCCTTGACTAAATTAATTCAATTAATGGCTCACTTTTTTTTAGAACGATGAACGTGGCTCCTCCTTCGGCTCTCTTATTGTCGCACACAGAGACAAGAATGTTTTTCCATTTATATAGCGTCATATCGAGCCGACGAGGAATACGGTTGGGCGATCTATTTTGTGTCTCGGATTCAGGTATCGCGTGTAACCATTCGCATCGAATTCCACTCGCCCGCTACACTCGACAATACGACCGAAGGGAAGAGCGACTCGCACGGCCCCTTGTCAGGTTTCTCGTCAGGAGGCAACGGGCCGTGTTATATCTCGCGGAAATAGACGTCCGTCATCTCACCGTGAAAAATAGCCCGGAAAAAGTTCTCCCGACATTTACGAGGGTCGCGAACTGAAACGAGTCGGACGAGAGTTCGGGCGATTAAAATATTTACGCGCACGCGCGTAAATGATTCTCCAGGAAAGTTCCGGTACCCTCCGTGTCATTTCTCGTCCCGATGACTCCTGGAAAAGAAATGTGTCACGCGCGCTTCCTCGTGAGAGAGGACGATGACGAAAATAGTGGCAGCGCGCGTGTGTATCGCGACAAATTAAAACGCCCTGGCGGCGTCTGGCGTTACCTCATTTACGGCAATAATCGATCAATTGAGGACGCATTAAAGCAATTCCAGAAGAAGTGGCGGATCGTAATGCGATCGCCGGCCCTAACGGATCTGACCTTCGCCGAATTTTCAGCCGAAAGGACTCCTTCCGGAGAATCGAGTCGCGAGTTCGGGGAATTCGCGATTGGCGGCGGCGAATGAGCGCGCCTCACCGCGGGATCGTGTTTCCACTCTATAACTCGTGTATACAGGATGCCCCGCAATAAATAGCTATCCGCTTTTATCTTCCAAACTAAAAGAGATAGGCCGTAATAAGTATGTATTAAATTAAATTGGTTTTAATTTAATTCTATGTGCGAGAACACACGGCGGTTGTCTATAAAAATTGTCCGAGTTAAAGAGAAAAGTGCGTATAATTTTGTACAGTAATGTGGATACTTCGATGTAATGAAGGCTGTAGAGAGAGAACGCTGTTCGTTATTTAATATTAATAATAATCATAAATAATAATAATTAATAATAATTATTTCATGAGTTTTACAAGTTTTACCGATGTAATATTTCACGGATGGCTATCTTGACATTTTCAGTCCTGCCGTGTATAACCGACTTCCGACTGCTGCGTTCGTGGCTGAAATATCTGTCATCTGCTCGAACATTAAGTTAATGATCGTGTGTTTAGCATTACACGCCCACTGATAATGTTGACAGGAGTCAGAAGTTGGCCACACGGCAGGGCCGAAAATATCAAAGTAATAACCACCTGTGAACTTTACACCGACAAAATGTGTAGAACTGAGAAAATAATTCCGTTGCATCATACGTGGCTGTATGTCATGTAGAAACAACGTTACAACTTTCATTACATCGAAATATCCATATCACCGTAAAAAATTACACTTCTTTGTTCTCTAACTTAGATAAGTTTAAATGGACAACCATTGTGCATAATAGGACTTTGTTAAAATTACATCAGGACTGTTTGTAAATATCACAGGGTGAGGTGCAATAATTATTACCACCCGGAAAAATCTTTGAAAAGCGCCATTAAAAAAGATGGTAGTTTTCCAAAAAACTACCATCTTTGGAAAATAATATATTTTATTGACTTAAATAAATTTTTTTAACGATTAAATGAAATGAGAGAAAATCAAAAGTTTATATTTTTATTATCAATTGCAATTTCCGTTAGATAAATTTTTCTTTCGCTCTCACACTTTAAAAATATTCCATGTGGTGATATTTATTATCTCACCTCGTGTGGCATACAAAACGTAAGGGAATGCACGCGATCGGTGTCTTTGTGTTCCGCGTAGGCGCATATTCGTCATTTGTTCAATGTTATAATTATGTATCAATATTATCAATATTATGTATCAATATTATAATTACGTCTTATATTATATTACATACAATTACTTAACAGACTAAAACTTTCAACCACGACGTGCGTTCAATGTATAAAATGCAGCTTCCCTGATCTGACGCCACGATTTCCCACGTGGTCCCGTGTTACAAAACGTTATTATTTTTACAAGCAGAAATTCGCTCAAATGATCAATGTATCGTAAAAAAATCTCAATTGATTATCCTCGCGCATCCGAAAAGTTTTACGAATCTCGCAGACTCATTTTCCCCCCTCGAATCTGTTATCTCGCGCGATAAGAAATTCTTCGGCGCTTCTGTTCGATACGTTCAATTTGGTCGCTTTGCCGAGTCAAGCTCAATCGTCACGTGTGTACTTCTTCAACCAGTCCCCGAGCTTATCTTTGTTTCGAGCGAGCCATTTGATATTGTTCGAGACGGTCTCGAGGGCTTTCGCACGACTGGCCGCGCCAGCGCCGGCCTCCGGGTATTTCTCGAAGAAGACCTTCATTTCGTTCAGCTTCGTTTCCGTGGTGAAGGACTTCGTGATGCCGGGTATCAGCTGGCCGAGGTATCGGTCGTTCAGTGTGTATCGGTCCACTAGAAATTGCCAGTTCGTGCGCACCCAGTCCCACACCAGCGGCGTGCCGACCGGGTTCTTGGAGATCGTAGTCAAGCAGCGGAAGAAGTCTTGAGCGCGCACGTAATTTTCATCGGTAGCCGTGGTGATGAATCTGTGAGAGGACAGGAAATGAATGAAGTGTCGTCAAGATTCTGGGTAGGTAAGAAATGAAACTAAAGGTAAGAAACACAATTATCATCACAGATATCAACGCGCGACAAGTAGTGTAAATATGTGAACAATGAAGTTTCGTAATATTTCTTTAAGCGTTTCGGTCCAGAATTTAGCACGCCCTTCAGTAAAATTGCAAGTTAAATTAGAGTAGTAAGTTAAAGAAGGAGAAAAAAGGGGTAAATTTTAAAAACTCGTCGCAGTCATTATTTTCAAAATAGATAATTTGAACTGTAAAATAGGATAATGTATTTTGATTTTACAGAGAGAAGTAAACAATTTTGCACACTTCAAAACGATAATTTTATGTTTGTATACATAATAATTCAAGATTCAACAACTACAGAAACTTAATTTCTCGTTTAGATTTGATCCATGAGTGCTAAATCAGGGTTAAAAAGAGAAGAAAATTAAGTCAAGGAAGAATCAAACGATCTATTAAGAAAGAAGACAAAATTCGATTTTGCACAGGAAGGAAAATGTGTCAAAGATCGTGGACAGTTGAGAGTACTAACTTGCTCAAGATCCAACTAGATCGTATGCCTGCCAAGCCAATCATCAGTTTCAACTTTTCGCTGGAATCGGTCTCGTTGACGAATCGCTGGAACAAGACGTTCCAGTCCGCTTCGTCTCCAACGTGATGTATACCTACCGAGCAGTGCGCGTAGCTTTAGCAGTTACAGTAGCCAAACAAAAGAAAGAAAGAAAGAAAGAAAGAGAGAGAGAGAGAGAGAGAGTCAGATCGGTGGACTAACCATAATAGTAAATGAGTTGACGGGTGTCGGGATGTGGCCGCGTATCGTTGGAGTCACGGATCCATTTCTTGAAGATCTCACCAGCTTCGTCCAGGCACTCCGTGTGACCCACAGTACAGGCAAGCTCGAGCACTGTAGGTCGCAATCTCCTGTCAAAGAGAATGACGGCGTGAGGAAGACGAAGAGAATAAAGATACTAAATTACACAAAGCTACGTTCACATTTGATTTTGAAAACGTTTTACGTACAGCATCACATTATCTTCGGCATTGTTGACGTTCCAACTTACATCGTGATAGGTGCTATCTACGAGGTCTCTCACGTAATTCTGGAATTGAATTTGAAAAGAAAAATATTCAGTGCTGAAATTAACGATGCCGAATTACGAATGATCGATATAGGGTTTTGCCAAATTCAAAATATAATCGGCGAGGTAATTTTTCAAAGTTGACTTTAAGCCGGCTTCTGAGCTACTCGTTGCAACCATCCTTCTCTGGTGACGTCAGAAGCCAAGAATTTGTGTGCTATACATTCAAATAAAAAGATATATCCATGAGACGATTTCTGAAACCAATTCAGCACGGTTGTAAAATTGTCCAAGTACTTTTCCTTCCTTGAACAGTTAATAAACAGTCGCAAAATGTATTTCTGCTAACAAGCTATCGACAAAATTTACAGCAGATACCGCGCAAAATCTGCTACATGCGTGCAAATGCATTTACACCTACTTGAATTAACTATGTTACCTTGAACTTCGACGATATATTCGTAGAGGACAATAAGGTGTCGATTGTTGTCAGCTTCGAGTTTGCGACCGACCATGGAACGGAATGATTTTCCTCCGGCAGATACGAAGTTATGTCCATCGCGATGCCGTACTCAAGCTCGCCGCCGTCCGCTAAGCTAAAGGCATCTTCCAAGAGATTCGTGCGGTCTGACACTGATAATCTCTGTAGCAAAAAATGTATGTACGTGCAATTAGAGGATGCTCCGTGAACTCGTAACTGAAAGAAAAGGAGAAAGAATCCACCGAAGAAAGAGGATGAGAAACTGACGCACAGCAAAGACACGTGAATTTACCTTGTGAGTGTAGCGAAGCAGGTAGCGGAGCGTTTCCCACTCCTCCGGACGATAATTAACTCGGTAGTAGCCGACTTGATCCACGTTGAATTTGATCCACTCGATCGGCTCGTCCGGCTCGATTAGCACTGCGACACAAAGGTAAGTTTTGCAAAAACAGAGCGTCTTTTGCGAAACGCAAAATGCAAAGCCAAGATTCTTCAAAATTCTTACGTTCACTTGCGTCCTTGTCGAACCACACGAGAGTGGGTTGCGACTTCTTGTTTGTAATATAAGTGATGGGTACTGTCCACTTGTATCTGTATCGTGCGTTGAGTCATCATTAATAGATTTTTATTAATAAATTGCCTGACCATTCTCTTCATCGGGAATGAATAACTCACCCATAATCCGATTCCGCGGGGTCGGACTCGGCGTCCGGATCGGCCAGGAACCGCTTCTGAGTCAGCACGAACGAGCTCCCGGATTTGCCTACGTTGATAACGGGAAAGCCCATCTGCCGTGTCCAAGTGTTCATGATATCGGTTATGTTCATTTTACTTCCGACTGCGTCTTGTAGGATGTTCAAGAGATCCGCGGTCTCCGCGTTCTGATAGGCGTACTTGTTCAGATAGGCGGTGATAGCACCGTAAAAAATGTCGGGTCCGATGAAGTTCTCCATCATGCGAATCACAGATGACCCCTGAGATGGAGAAGGTTCGGGCGAATCAGTAGACAGGTCGGAGAAAAGACCAGGAGAATCATTAAACAATACAGCAATTGATACCTTCTGGTAAGTTATCTCGTCGAAGATGGCTGTTATCTCATCCGGATTCTTGACGGTCTGAACTATAGGGTGGGAACTCAGTTTCGCATCGGTCACGAATACGGTATGTATCTCGTTAATAAGAAATTGTTCCATCTGGAAAGGGCAATTCCTCATGAATATCTCTTGCCAATAATCAATGATACACATACACACACACAGAATCCCAGTAAGCAAAATGTTAGCAGTATGCTGGCAGATCGATCGGAATATCGTGGCAGATTCATAGCCATCTGTGACCGTATTAAGTTCATGTACCGTCGACAGAGTCCACTGTTATAGCTTGACAGCAGATCGGCGGCAGAAATCGAGCGGTATCTGCAGTACGTTCCGCTTAAATACATTTAAATTATGATGAAATGATAGATTCCGCCCGATTTCTGCCGTCAATTCGTTATCATTCTCTGTTAGCGGATTCCGTCGCTATTTCCGCTGGCAAGCTGCCGGCAAAACTTACAGCCAACATTATGCAAAGTCTGCTTCCGCAGATTTGGCTATTTAAGTTGTTATCAAAGTACTAACAAATCCCCAGTCTGGTAGAAAAGTATCGGCACTTTTGAACGACATAAACGTAGCGAAACCTTCGTTGAGCCACAAATCGTTCCACCAGGCTAACGTAACTGTAAAAGAAAGATAGAATGCGTGCTTTCATTCATTCGCAATCGATATCGTAGGTCGTGGTAATTAAAGCGCGGAGATACCTACCGAGATTTCCGAACCACATATGAGCGAATTCGTGACAGATCACGTTGACGATGTCGCGCTTCGTCGTGGTGGAGCTCGTTACGTTGTCGTAAAGAAGCCTCGCTTCTCTGTACGTCACCAGACCCCAATTCTCCATGGCGCCGGACACAAAATCGGGAATAGCGGCCATGTCTACGGAGAGGCAAGGGTGCTCAGATAATAATCCGCAAATTCACAAGTCAGACTCGACTCGCTCATTCCTGTACCATTATTGCTTACCGAGTTTCGGCAACGGATAGTCTATCTGGAATAGATTTATGTAATATTCGATAGCCTTCACGCCGATTTCCATGGCGAAGGATCCCTTTTCCTTTTGCGCAAATGTGGTGTAAACGCTGATCGGAAATTCCCGGCCGTTCAAGCCCTTCGCCATCTTGGTTACGGACACGAAATCACTGACGATGAAACATGCCAGGTATGTCGACATAGGCACAGTCTTTGCGAAGTTCACTGTCACCAGACCAGATGCTGGTTGGTCGACTAGAATATTCTAGAACACGAGGTAATCGTTGGACGGTTAACAATCAACTACGATTGACACTGTCGATGAATATCTGGTCCTGTAAATGAATATCCTAAACTACCTCTACATTCATGTTGGACAAGGCATTGTAGCAGTCAACCTTGCGATGAGCCAGCTTTATCGTAAATTCCGCTTTAAAAGCAGGCTCGTCGAAGCACGGGAAGGACTGTCTAGCATAGGTTGGCTCAAACTTTGAAGTAGCGATGAGTCTACGGATTGAAACACACTCGAATTATGATCTATTTCGTCACGTCAGTCAATAAGAATTTCTCGAATGTATTTTACATAATTCTTTACGGAATACTTATATAATGTACTCCAAGTTTCTTGGAGCGAGTTCCAGGTTAGACCGGCAATATTTTTCACTCGCTTGAAGCGAGCTCTCACTCCAAACGAATGGGAACACACTCTAAAAGAATTTAGAGAATACGCTGCTAAAATTATACATAGTGTTTACCTGGTTTTATTTCGAGGATCCTTGTACTTGCTGGAATAGAAACCGACTATTTTGTCCTGAAGACTACCGTCGAACTCCAATTTTAAGTTATACAATCCCGGGTTGAATTCATTCTCGGCGGATATCACAAAGATCTCGTACTTTGTGGGTTTACTGATGGACGAGAGCTTGATCTCAAAGTTCTCTTCTCGGTCGTACGTCGTTAGATTCGCCGACGTGATGTTGAGGTCCTTCTGATGGAGGGCTATAGTTCTTCTCCTGTCAAGAACATCGAGGAGAATAGTCACCTTACCGGAAAACGTGCCCTCTTCAAGATTCGGATACAGGAACAGGTCGTAATGCATCGGCCTGACTTCCTTCGGCAGCCGGAAGCTTACGTCGGGTTCTGCGTCCTTGCCCATTGTTGTAAACGCCTCCGGTCTGTTCGAATCTGCGAGTATAATGAATTCTCTATGCATTATATTCGCAAAGAAAAATTCTCCATATCGCGCAGAGAAAGAGAAGGAGTAAGAGGGGGAGGTTAAATTTTGTTACATAATTTATATGGTAAAGTGACAAATTTTATCCCACTCGTATTACTCGATTATTTGATTGACCTCACATGTTGATAAGACCAATGAGGGTACGCGAGGATGACTTTTCCAAACCACAGGTTGAAACCAAAATTTAACTACCGCCCTTACCGACTGATCGAGCCTGGAAGTTTAAAGGGGGGGCTATTCAGAACGACGAGCTGATGCAGCGTAAAACACTCCTCGGAGTCTAACGTGTCATTGCAGATTGTTAGTGACAAGATATTTGCGCGATAAAACACGAGACTGATAAGATAGAACTCTTCGCACCGCAATGTCGACGTAATGTGAAACAACGTACCGCCGTATAAAGGCCATCTTGTCCAGCGTGTCGCTCTCGCGATCAGCTGATACAAGCTTCGAATGCTGGCGCGACCAAACGCCCGTATGCCATTTTAAAACACCCGCGACTCCGCCTGATCGATAATCGAAGTCTGAATCGTTCCGCAGGAAAGTCATCTCAACCGTTTCTCCAGTTATCTCCCGTTATCTCCCTCTTTCTCGGAGAAAAAGATCTCCGAATCAGAGATATATCATAAAAAAGGCAGATAGACTTTTGAAGCTTCTTCTAAAGCTTCTAAAGGTTCCAAAGAATTTATCTCCGACGGATTCTTAAGTTATCCATTCGAAAGCTCATCGACAGATCGTTCGTTCGATAAATTGAGAACTATTGTCTTCCCGTTATTCTTCATCTTCAGATTGAGGCTGACTTTCACCGGACTCTGATTAATCTAACTGACGATTTAAAGTTTCATAATATCTAATATTAAAAAAAGAAATCTGTCGTTACTCTCCAACAATATAATATTAAATCTCACAAGGAAAATTGTCATCCATTTGGAAATACATTCAGTAATGTCCTCCAATCATTTTCACTTCACTTTCCATCACAATTTCGCAGTATTCTGAGCAACAACATTCCCACCGAGGTTTCCACTGCTATTCAGCAACAAATTACCGAACTGGAAGTTATTGACGATCCTTCTTATTACTCATTCATCGTTCATTCATTCATCATTCGTCGATTAGTTCAATCCGAGTTGGCGAAAATCATCCTAAGCTTTAAGCGGTCCCAGAAGGTGTTGCCTCAGCTTCGCGCGGCACGGTTGAATTTGCCGCCGAGCGGTCGCGAGACTTGCGCGCGACAGTCCGGTTGCGGCTTTCGCGACTCGGACGATTCAGGGTATGTTCTTACCGTGTCGATAGCTCGCCGCCTCGACGCTCTGGTCCAACAGCACTACCAATGTCGCCAGGCACGTGCAGATCAGGCTCAGGACGAAACAAGCGCCGCACGTGAAGCAGAGGAGTGCGGAAACGGCGTTGCCGTGCCGGGGCGATGTCGACGCGCTGAGACGGTGCGCGCCGCCTCTCGGCCGGCTCTCGAATCTGCCACCGGCCGCCATGGAGAAAAGCGCGCGTCCGCGTCCGACCTGCAAGATGCGCTGATTATCGTCGCGCGCGAATGGCTCGTCGAAGGCGTTCTCCATCATCAGATCACGCCGCTTCGGACACACTCTTAACAAGTAATTGCCTATACTTTATTTCTCTCTCTCTCTCTCTCTCTCTCTGTCGTCTCGTATCGACGTTAACTCGAGCTTCTCGCTCTTGCAATTTTGACCTTAACCTTCGTTCACCCGCGATTTCGTCTGAACGGCGCCGAACTACGTTAGTTGGTGTTTTTGCTGGGTAATATCCGACGGTCGGCTGTTAAAGGCCTCTCTTTCTTTTCTGTTCTTTCTTATGCCGTTAAATCGAGTTGACTTGAGTCTTTTCGCTCTTTGAAATGTGCCTTCGGTTTGCCGCGGTTTTCCCTGAACTTCGCCTTCCGTGCAATAATCGATTACGCCACGCTAATGGCGGAAATGACGCGTCGTGAATACAATGAGAATTACGGTCTCTCGTGATGCGAGAATTCGATTATGATGAGAGATACGGGGCGTTTTGCATACTTACGTTCGTCCAAATACACACGACCAAATTCTCGCTCCCGCCCTTGAATTATTACTTCATCGATACTGCGCGCTGAATGACGCAACGCACGTAACTTCGTAGCGGCCGATATCGCTGTATAGGACTGCAATTGTAATTGAATATAATTTACAATTTCACGTTGTACAAGCAATCTGCGTTTCTATGTCCAGGGTTTCTGTTATGGCGTCTGTATGTCTGCGTCTGCAAAACGTCAAATTAACCTGACCACGTGCAGCGCGCTGATTTCGTGATCTGTCGGCTCCGATTTATGCGACGGTAAATGTGTTTATGCATAGGCGATAAAATCTGATTGGTAACACCTGTAATCTACGTTTGCACGATCAGCGCAAAACCGATATGGTAAGTCTCGATACTGTGACTATTAGCGTTACATATCATATAGTGTAGTTATAAGAATTATTTATAGGAGAAAGGCGGTAAATGTATAGAATATGGAACTCGCATTTGTGCTGAAACCATTGCTTGAAGCTATCGGTAGATATAATCATTTTTTCCCGGATAGGAACTTCTTTGGGTTTGCAAAATGATGCAGGACTTTTCTCTTCATCTCAATCTGTTCTACGTGCTCATGAAATTTGTCCATTGAGTTCTGCGACACCCTGTATAGTCTCTGTGTACAGTCTCATACCTAAACGCTAGGTTACTTGAGTTACATTCTTGTCATTTTGCAAAAAATAATATATTGCCCTTTTTCTGTATAAATACACTGAAAAAGGTCGAATAAATAATGAAAAGCTTATAACACTATAAGAAAATGTTTCTTTTTTTTCTTTTAACTTATCTGCTTGTTCCATATTAACACTCTGTTTGCTCGGATCTTCGATTTGAAATGTGTTGGCAAAAATTTCAGCAATTGTATGTTTTATCTTAATAATTAATAATAGCTCAGACGTTAATGATGCTTCAGATGTATGTGTTAACATTGACGATCATTTATTCAATACTCAGATTTTTCAACTCGACAGTTCTTCCTTTAACCGTTTGAAACCATATTCCACGTTTACATCCTTTCCCCTACGACATGCAACATCGACAATCGCACCGGCGGAAATCATTAAACCGGTTCTTCGCTGTTGATGCGAATGTAAATTATGGTAGTTGTTAAATCGGCCTTAGGTTGCCGTATAGTCTCGCGTAGTGATCAGTCTGTTCCGAGAACTCCGTGTCGGCTTTCTCTTTTTGTCGTACGCCAGTGATCGGAATTGCACCTTCGAAGCGATTTTCAAGAAATACGCCTGTTTTCTTCCCTTCGCCTCTCCCGCTCGTTTCTTTCGAGCTGCTGGGACTGACAGTTGTTACGTTCGGCTTCAGGATCGTCAGTTTCACAATGTGAGTTCTTTTTTTTATACGCTACCGAGAGACACAATTATATTGTTATAATTAACAACGATAGAACTGTATTTCCGAGAGGAACTTTTCGATAATTAAACAGCGCGGGTTTTACAAATCTGTCGGTCCTGAGATTTAAACGTTGCCAATCGCTTGGCCAATCGCTTGGCAATCGACGGGCGAGCGGAAGTCCGAAAGTCACTTTGAAAGTGCAGGTAATTCCGAACACTGTTCTACGCAGATCTAGCGGACACTTTCAACTCGCTCAAGGTAATCGCGATCTAATTTGCGCAATTTGCGCCAAAGTTCACCGAATTCCTGATTCGAAAGCTACGTCGCACGGATTGTGTCGCAAATGCCGATCGAGATATCGACAGCTCAGAAGTGACAGCTGGAATTTGAAAAAATATAGTCGTTCTCAGACTTTTAATTTAGAAAACTCGGGATATCTTTCTTCTCGACTCGCGGCACTTGTTTGAAGACGGGGTCATTTGCCTCTAGAAAATTCGATGGAAGTAGCACCTTGTATTCGGACTGTTCACAGTAAAGTGCAAATTCTCACGTCTCGTTGATTTATGATTTGTAGTTTCGTAAATTGGACCCTATGCTAATCCGTACAACGCATCCCTGGCCTTTCATTCCGTGTACCAGAAGGTGTTATAAATAAATAAATAAGTTTTAGATAATAGATATATAAATAAATTGTAGTAATAAATAGATATGTAAATAAATTACAGACAATAAATAGATAAACAAATCAATTTTAGATAAGAAATAGGTAAAAATAAGTAAATAGATAAGTAGATAAATTTGAGATAATAAATAGATAAATAGATAAGTAGGTAAATTCTCAAAAAAGCAGTTTCGTCTCCACCGAAAAAATATAGCCGAAAACTTTCAATTTCACGCCTACGAGGTGTCACTTTTCACAGACATCGATACACAATCGATATGATTGTCGACACACACACACACACACACATTAGTCTCAGGCACACGCAATCGCGCGAATCTTGGCGGCTTTATCTGCCTTCGAACGGCTGATAAACGAGCGGTTGTTGCACTCGACTGATTGGAAAGAAGGAAACGCAATCTCGTTGGTCGCCGACGTCTTCGTGCATCCCACGCGATAACGCGCGATCCATCGCGACTTTTACCTCCGCGGGATTTTACCGACGACAGATTCCGTCGCGATATTTTTCGATCCCGGCAGAGATACGCGAAGAAATACGTAGAAAACAAACACAGGTCTTTTTTTCCTCTCTCAGTTGTTTTCCTCAGTAGATTGCTTTCCCTGCGTGTTTTTTTTTCCTTCACTGCGTTTGTTTGTCACAAGATGCTTCTGGCGCGATAAATCGGAGCATACGATAAAATCGTAAAACGCGGAAACAAAGCGGGAAGCAAAGACCTGGAAAAAAACGACTTTCAGGTCCGCGGAGACGCTCGTTAGAGGCGATCTGGATCGTCCGACAAGAAGTGTCTCGTCTCGATCTCGACGTCGATCGCTTTCTTTCTCTCTCTCTCTCTAGCACGCCCGCTCGATCGCCCGGGAGAAACTGCGCCGACTTCATCGTCGGCACGAGCGCGCACCAGTCGATCCTATGACGAAAATCGCTCCTAATTGGACGTGACGCACGCGCGGCCGACTTGCATTCGAATTCGCGAGCAATTGGGTCGAATTAGCTGTCGTCGCGTACGCACGTGTTCATTAACATTCGCCGAAATTGACGCAATTAGAGAGACCGGCCACGCAGGGAGAAATACCGCCGGGAGACGTGAGACGAATAAACGTCACCGGCTCGCCGACGCGTTTTCGAAACCACCCTGTGTTTACGAAAGCGCAAGCTTGAATGAGCGCCGCTGATTCATTTATATTTATAATATTATCGCGAAATTGGATCCCACGTTTGGGCCCAAAACGGGCAGAACGTAGGGAAATTACGACAGTGACAAATTATAACGAGAAAATGACTGAAAACTTGCGTTTTGAGCGACCGAAGACGCAAAAAAGAACCGACAAAAGTTGACGTAAGATGAAAATTGCGAAACTGCTGGGAGTTTGTTTGATACGCTATTTCTTATTTTATTTGTGTTAACTCTAGTTCGGCACTCATAGGCCAAATTGACCCAAGCGAAAATATGAAAAATCCTATAATTGTTAAATCTTGAATTTTTGTTGTACGTATGAACGTAGGGTTCTCTTCTTAAAGCGTGCTAAATTTGCCGCCTTTTTCTGCGTGGAGTCGGATATTTTCTCTTGTGCCTTAAAATTATCTATTTGAAAAATAATTGTTCAAATTTATGCACTCAAAACTAAGGTATCTGTACATTCTGGATAAACACATCTACAGATATTTGAGTAAAGGCATATAAAAAAAGTAACACACAGACTCTGTGTGTGTGCGTAAAGTAAGCAGCAATAAATGTGTGCCAACGAAGAAATAAACCGATGACAGATCAAAAGTGAGTTTTGCAACTTACATCTAATTATATTTTATGCGCAACCTGACGAGATTCAATGAGATTCGTGTATCTCTTTCCACTAACTGTGTAATCGATACTATTTTTTTCTTCGAATGAAAGTTTTAGAATCGTACTTTACATATAACGTATTAAAACCCAATGAGATTCATATATCTCTTTCTATTAGCTGCGTATAACCGCTTTCTCGAATGCGATTAATTATACGTTACACGTAACTTAATGAGCCGCGGTGCCTGTCACCGGTCACCGTCAGGTCATTCAACGCGTTCGATCTATTTTATCAGCAAGAAGGAAATGAGAGAAATAGGAAAAGAAACATTTTTTTAGATTTTCGAGAGAATCGTTCGGCGAATTTCGTCGAATTGCGATTGCGAGTCGGATGGTTGCGAGTTTCTTCGATTGCGAAATGACTTCGCTATTGCGCTGCCGATGCATTTATTAACGATAACGTGATCATTCGACGCGCAGCTACAACACATGCGACGAATACCGACGAAGACTTTTTAGCACAGATACAACAGAAGACGAATCACTCGTTTGAACATAACAGAATTCAATTGAAAAAAGGAATTAAAGTAATTTGAAAAAAGAACTAAAATAAAAAATAGAAGAATTCAATTCAAGAAATAATCAAAACAAAAGTCAAATAGAAAGCAATTTACTTTCTCGCTACGCGCAACGATGCATAGTAGGGAGAAAGGCAAAAATTCGGTTCGTTTACGGCAAAAACCGCTGGGCGGTCTAATAATTAACTGATTTTGATGATTCTCTTTGAATTTTCCCCGTTATAAATCTTCCCACATCGTAGACCCGTAAATTCTCTAAAATAATGCTCAAATTCAAAATGACGGATATGGCAATACGGTTATCAAAAATATCGAAATTTCACGATACTCGATGTATTTGCACTAAAATAAGTTTATACAGATTTGTGGGAGATCGTCGATAACGAGTTCAGAGTGAAATCTTCAAAATGCAGAACGACAGATTCGATGTGACGGTGAGAAAAGTACGATAAAATTAATGATCGCGTTAAATATCAATTAAATATTTTTGACCGCCGCGTCAAATCTGTCGTTTCGAATTGTCGATTAATTGTTTCATCCGGTCGACCGTCCAGCGGATTTTTGTCCAAAGCTCGCGCCTTTCTTTCGGTTGCGACCGCTCACGAGGGACCGTCTCAATCGGCGTTCGCAATCCGCGGGCTTCCACGACGCTTCGTCGGCGAGATTGCAGTATCCATATTCGGCTAAATGGTAAAACAATCGGGACACGCGTGTCCCGACGAGCAAACCGACCCCGAGTGTGGGGTAAACGCGACCCCTCCTATCGCGACTCGCAAATATATCGCGCGCGATCGTACGCGCGTGTGTACGCGAACGAGGATGAAAAGCCGCGCGAGGAACGACACGCGTAATTTCACAATTGCGAGCGTTACGTGAGCGGCACGCAGTTCGGCGTGTCGCGAAAGCCGCCCGTGATTAAGCAAAGCAATTATTAGCACTTACGCGAGCGCGCACACAATCCGCGCGCGATCAGCACCGGGAATGGAAATGAATTGCAATTTCGTCACTTCGTTACTCTCGCTATTCCGCGCTCTCCTCCGCCAAGTGAAACGCCCAGAGCCGCCGGTTGGTGCAGCTAAGCTATGCGTTTGCTCTCGCCGCTTCTCCGTGTGTAATTGAACCGCGGGGCCGCGTGCGACACAACAGCGAATCAAAATCCAATCATCGGTCCAGCGTCGCTTGATAATGCAGCTATTATTTATTTTCAATGATAACGAGCATCGCTCGCTTCTTGCTCTGCCCTCTTATCGAATTCGATCGACAGGACGAACGCGGAAAGAAAAAATGCGCGCCGCTGTATCGATGAGATTGATCGACGGGCGGTAAATCTGTCGCGGTAAATCTTGTAATCTCGGCGAACGGAGATTATCGCGAGGAATGGCAACATCCCGTTGCGCGGAGGAAACAAATTTCGTTGGAACGGCAAATGTTTGTCGATATAGTGAAAGAAGGATTTGGATAGCAAAAAGATTTGTTAACAGTATTAATTGTTCGTACATCCAGCAAATAGCAATTAATACTCCTAACAGATCTTTCCGCCGCCCAAAGAAATGTTTTCTCTCCGTCGCTGTATCGACAGACATTTGCTGTTACAGCAAAATTGTCAAATTCTCGAAGCGTTTTCGATTCCCGTGCGCACACAGGTATGCCTGGAGAGTAACGACATCGCTTTGAAATCGATAACAATAATTTATTTATAAATACAGTGTAAATGTCGATAATATTGTCTTAGCAAAATCTACGCTCGGGAGGAACGTGAGATACGTAAGTACAAAACGCAGCGCGGAACATTCCACTCCCCGTTCCGCGAGACGTTATCTCACGATTAATATCGCACGTACATTAATCTTCCCCTATAAACTACGCCCCCTCTTATTAAAACTTACGGGATTACATTACGACTTCGTATGACGTTTCTCTACCGTTTCTAAATGTAGTAATTCACAACGGAAGTCGCTCCTCTGGGAAATTGGGTATACCTGTGACCGGTGACTTCGTCAGGATAGGCGGGAAAAGAAAAGGTGCAAAGAAAATTGGCCTTTCTCGCAGGGATCTCGCGCGCTTAACGAGGGATCCAGTCATGCAACGAGGCATTCCAGACCTGTGGGAGTTTCCATTTTTACCGAGAGCTCGTCCGAAATTTGGAAGACGATTTTTTCATGTCGAAAATATCGACGGGGGTCATTGTTAATGGCGACTATCGAATTAGTTCTACACAACAACTACTTCGTAAGCCTCATTGGAGTAAAATTCTCGTTCGGAGTAAAGTCTGCTTGAAATTGTCCGGGAGAAATCATTTCGTCATCCATTCGGCCGCTCGATCGCTCGTTCCTCAGAATTCTATCGATGCCCCGACGTTTCCGCCGAGGAATAATTAAATTCACTCTAAATTGCCCGGAGAACCTCTCGGTAAAATTAGAATCCCGCGTTCCGAGATACCCTCTGTATGTACACAGAGCTCCAATGGAAATCTGTCGAACGGTCGTCTGGCTTTCTCTAGTAAAACTCTGAATCGTCACAAATGTGGGTGTAAATGCGCGAGCGCAAGATACGATAACGCGAAGCGAAACGCGGGCGTTTTTACGGCGGGTGGCATGCGTGGGGGAATATCGCATAAGCGATAAAGACCTGTGCACGTAAATTGCCGTAATCGTAAGCACATAAGAACCGAACTTGAGCTGAGAGGAATCGCTCGAAACAGCTTCCTCGAAGTTGGATATTTTGACGGTTGTTGTTATGTCGGAAAAATTTCGATAACGTCCAAATGACATCGAAATGACGGGAAAATGATGGTGAGAAGCCACTTTTCGACCATTTCCTTATCACTTTCACGTCATTTTTTATTCTACTTGGACGGTTATTTCCGCTCACGGTCGAATCATTCACTGTCGCTTTCCAACTTAAAGAGATACCTGTATTGGGTGTCCCCGCGTACAAGTTCCGGTCTTACGTCTATAATTACAGCAATTCGCGCCTGAAGACGTTAAAACGGGGAAGATGCAAAACTGATCGACGAAACGTCGGCGCAACAGTTTTTTTTTCTCCTCCGAACAAAGGTACGAGGACTTATCACGCGAGAGAAAATCACCAGAAAGGCGGAACAGAGCTCGCGATCGCCCGGCCGCGAAACCGAAATCCTCGCCGCGGCCACTGATATCACGCGATTCTCTCCATACGCGTTTTGATCTCGGGAAGACGTACGCACACGTACAAAGAACGGAAAGCGCCTTTGGGAAAATCGACAGCTCGCACTCGATTTTCACCGTGTTTCTTTACGCTCAGTAACTCGCCGACGGCCGAGTCTCGACGCTCAAACGCGAGCCGATTGGCAAAATCAAACGGTCGTATGAATTCAGTCATCACATATTCTTGGCTCGCTCGAATTTTCCGATTTTTCTTATTTCTCTTTTTTATTTGATCCACTTAACCTGTTCATTCTTTCGCCTTGAGCGTAAACGAAATTAAGTATGACCGCTCCGAAAATAGTAAAGACGAAATACACTGGGCTATCAGGAACCAAAGCAAACGGATACAGTACTTTTGCATTTAAATATCAATATTGCCGATATTAATGTGCCTGTGGGAAAATTTAATACTTAAACGTGTAATAACTTACGTCCAGATTATTTTTACACGTCAAGCACATATCCTTCATTCCTATTATTTTAATATAATTCTTATTATAATCCAACCTAGAATTTTTAATTTTGAATTTACACCGAATTTTGCGGAAGAAAAAAAAACTCCTGTTTGGGGCAGTTTTCTTTTTTCGCTCAATATGAATTTAAAATTAAAAATTCTGTATCGGGTTAATGAGGAAAGAAATTATATTGGAATAATGGGAATAAAAGATGCTACTGTTGTGAAAGCCTTAATTATGCGAAATTTGCCTTTTGGGCGTCTTAGACTCGTATTGAATTATTGTGTCAACCGCGTGCTTATGGCTAGTGATAGGTAAAAGGCAAGTTTTCGTTGCGAGTCGATACCGATAAGCGTTACCGATAAAACGCTAATTCGTTAACCGTCGCGCAATTAGCGTCATGCGTCAGAAGAATGCGCGCGCTTTCGCAAACGATCGTCCTTGCGAAATCGCCATTCGACACGGTGATCAAACTCGAGGCCGACGATCTTTTACGGAAGACAGACAGAACTTGAGCCCGTGCCGCGTCGAATCGCTCGTTAATTAATCGCGTACGGCTGCGTCACCCACGTAGTCGATTCGACATCACCTGCAACGTATCACCGATTCGATTGCTCGATCGTTTTCGATTCTCAACGCCCGAACACCTCCGTCCCCTTTGTAACGTGCGAACTGCTTCGCGCTTCGGTCAACTTTAACTTAGAAGGCAGTGCAAATTTCTAAGAGAAAACTTCTCGGAGAAACGTAAGACATTATTAGTGTTTTAAGGCTCACTGACGTTTTAAAAGCGTTTTAAAGATGCCTCTTAAAAGTTTGCGCTGTCTGGTTACACAAATGTCGTAACACTCGCGAGCTGAGTGACAACGTGACACCCGTTCCGCCCGTTGTTTGGAGAACAAACGTTAGAACTCTCGCTCGTTAATCGACCGGCTTCGACACGGAGGACGGTTCTTCGGACTGAAAATGGATTTCCTGCATGTTGTACAAAGTTACTTCGCTTTTCCAACAGAACCCTCGAAACAACTCGAGTGTTCAAGATCGATATTCACAGGAGGCGTCCAATTATGTTTATTCTCTATTTAAGTTAACCCTCTTGAGTTTGTCTTGAGATGATCTTCAATCAATGAAACGGTCCTCACAGCGTCTAAGATGAGCTCAGGACGATCTTAAATATTAGATCGAAAGATCAGACATATAATATATACCTAAAAGACGTCTTGTCTGGAAGAACGGATATAAAAAAGAAACATTTAGACATTCCTGTTGTCTAGGTCTTTCGATCGTTAGCAACATAACGATACGATCGAAATGACGGTCACGTAGTCACCTCATTTTCGCAGCCTGTTTCGAGTCACCTTGACCCAGCTCGCTCATGTGTAACATTATAACTCGCAGGTTGCGCTTCTGTTCGTGGTCGGTGGTCGTTGCAAATGAGAATCGTATCCTCACACGAGCATACAGATTTTCCCGGCCTTCCGTCCTATAAACGGGCTCCATGAAGCGCAAGCGAAGCGAATATCGATGATTACACGATCGTCCTAACGGTGATCGCCTAAGGCTCGCGTAATAGACCGAGTCAACTACTCGATTATTACGACGGCGTACAGTGGGAAGCCGCTCTCTTTGAGCAAAAGTCATCGAATGTTGAACCAAAGTCATTAGTATTTAGTGAAACTATTTAGTAAAAATTACCACAAAACGTTGGACCACATCGGAATTATAACTGAAATTGTAATACGTATTGTAATTTTCAGTGATGTATATATTTCCTTGCCCACATCACCGAAGATTACAACGTACACAATAATTTCAGAGGTAATTCTAGTGTAGTCCAAGCATTATGAAATTTTTTACTGTAATATTTTTATCCTAGTGTGGAAAAACTCATAATGAGTAAATTAAAAGAAGAAATCGATTAAATATTGATATTAAATATTAAATATAAATATTAACTATTATCGGTTCGATATCAAATTAACCGCTGATTTTGTCTTTTTATCGAGAGAGAGTGCCTCTCTTCCCACTGCGCGTCGTGTCACACAACTGCGGAATTGGCCGCGATGTTACGAACAAGTCGATACAAATAGATTAATACGTCATCATCCTTATCATGAATCACCATCATCCTAAACAGTCATCTGAGAAGGCCACGAATGAATTTGATTCGTAGGTACGTAATTGATTGTACAGTACAACACGCCGGCGCGTCGATCCGGATCGGCCGATCGATCGTTCCGGATGACGACGATGCGTTCGCTACGTCGGTTTACATTGAGCACCTTACACGCGACACCTCGCGTTCTATTTTCGAGCTGCCACGATCGTGTGAGACGCGGAACGAGTTGCCGACCTGGCGAGCGAAATTTCGCACCTTCGATTTCGATTCGACGGTGATGAGACTCCTGCTTTATCGCGCGTCAATCCTGCGTATTGAGAACAAGGTGTTCGGTACTTATAATCGCATTTTACGACGTGATTGCACGGTGAAACGAACATGGTTAATGAATAATTGCTCGAGGGGGTCAATTTTGTAATAAACACCGCTGTAATATTGTAATATTGCCGATAACAAATTCGTGTGCGTATTGCCACTACCGCTTTGTGTTGAAACAATAAAAAGACACGGTTTGACGTCGAGTGTAACTATAAAATTTGCGATGAAATAAACTACCACGCCATAAGAATTTTATTCCGTCGAAGCGATTGATCTCCAAACTCTACGTCGAAATAAGTCAAATCCGCGAGACATCAAGCGGAGGATCAAGACTTGACAGCTCTGATACCCGTTTTCCGAAAATCCCTTCGTAAAAATCACCCTCGATACGGTAATAATAATAATAACAATAATAATAATAATATCGTTGCTGAGGAGAAAATCGGAAGAAATCGCGTCAGCGAATTTCCGAAACAGGTGGAAAACGGCTCGACAGGTCCGCGCGCGCGCAGTGGTTCAATTGCCTTCTGCGCTAAATCTCGCGAGATTTCTTCGCTCGATTCCCCGAGCCTCTTCCTGACGGAACGTTGTTTGGGTGATACGCGAAACGGTACATGCCCTCCGTGTTCACGGATCCCTGATTGAGGAAGAGACGATCGATCGATCTCGGCATCCGATCGGTCCGGGAAGACCTCGCCGTCGAATGAGCTTCGAATTTCCTTCTCCTCTTCCTCCCTTCTGCCTTTCCTTCCTTCCTTCCTTCTTTCCCCCTTCCGTTTTCATTCCACAAAACAATCGAGCTCACGACGTTTCTTTTTTTTTTTTTTTTCAAACGGCCGATTCGAAGAGAGGAACACGATAACAAATGTACGATGTAGTAATATTATACAATAAATATTAATTGACGCCATTATTAACGATTGACCACTGATCTTTGGATCGTTCATTGTACAACGTGCCAGCACAGTAGATAAAATAATTCGAAGGATAGAGATAGATGATAGCTATAGATAAGCTTGCACGAGAAGGGTGATTCGGGAACGATGACGCGGTTTGTCGGGAATAGACCACCTTGATGCGGTTGTCGAAGAGACGCCACAGTTACTTTACTTACGGATATTCCTTGGGTAAGCTTCTCTTCGACAATGGCACCCAGGAGTCGACGGGTATTCCTCGACACAACCGGTCACAGTTCTCATATCACCTTTTTATCCGCGTTAGCAGTGAGAATTTCCAGCGTAGAACATGCACGCCCTGCGACGAGTATCAGGTTCACCGATAATTGAATGATCACGCGAGAGAAACAATTCCGTCAGTGCGAACTGAATATTCCGTTGCCTGATAGGAAGACGCAGATAAAGCAGAAAATCACGATGTCGCAACGATGGGAAAATGATTGTAAAAGCTCACCTTTCGATCATTTTCTCATCATCTTGAACGTCATTTGGACGTCATCGTCACTCCCTATTCTATCTGGCGTAAAAGCCGGACGGAAAATTCGGTTCTAAGAACAGAAAAGTTTCTCTAGGTTTCTGCACAGTCAATTGCTTTTAGTCATCTCAAAACGAGTTTTGAGTTACAGCTGTACGTTCACACGAACATTTGCGGTAACAGATATATATCGTTTCACGCCCGGTTCCTATACTCGAATGAAGATTTTTTTTCCCGTATAACCGTGTGGAATCACGACATTCAGGTGTTTCGAGTAATTTGAATAACGTATTTTAGAAACAAACGAAAGAAAATCAGGGAAGAATGCTCCTTTTTTTTATTTGATCTAACCAAACAAAGAATTATTTACGGGCCTTTAGGAGTAAAGCACGGATCTTTTTTAGTGCCATAAGATATGTTGATATATTGCCAGTATCAATATTTATTGTGGGAGGATATTATGCTTGAAAGTGTGTTACCGTACGCTCGGAATATTCTCCGGTCTGCGCATGCGGAGAATTTTGAAGCGTCAAAGAAATTCAGAAAAAGAACGAGTTGCCGGAAACATGAATAAAATAAAAATACTAATAAATATTAATAAAATAAAATATTGTCAGTCGTGTTGCGTAAAACTGAAATGGTTTTACCCACGTTTTCATCCCCCATCTTGTTACATGTTTTCTTCAAACATTCGTGTAATTCCTTTTAAGTGTACCGAGTTTAATCGGTGGCAGATAAGTCGCGACAATTTTATTTCGAAGGACAAAACGCACGCAGTATTCGACGGAAATATTTAACTACCGATAATTACCTGAATATATATGTATACACACGGTCACAGGTCGGTAACAATTTTTTTACATGTTCGGAATGCGCAAAAAATATGACAAAGCGAACCTATGACATCATGTCTAACATACGCAATAGATGGTCGGACAGTTACAAAAATAAGACATGTATGTATCAAAATTACATGTGCATACGTAATTTTGACACATACTTATTTACTATCTATCTATTGCGCATGTCCGTATATCATAATTTCGTTACGTCGTATTTTCTGGATGTTCTGAAGTATGTAAGAGGTAAACTGTTACAACCGTCCTATGACCGAGTGTATATTACGTAAAATTCAACGAAAAAAGGCCCTTATACATAATCAATTACTGTCGTTAAAAACAACGAGAAAAAGAAATATTTGAAATGTAAATCACACAGTATATTGCGACGAGAGATGAAAAGACTTAACGGCTATTGATCAACCGCCTGTAAACCGCGATTCTGTCACCGAGAGGTCGTTCGAAATTGAAGCGCAACGATTATGACTCCCGAGTTCTAGGACGAAGCCGTGAAACGATATCCGAGCTCGAAGCTCATCCAACCAACTCGTAATATTATGAAATTTCTACGATGCAACGCATCGTGAGCCGATCACACGCGTCCGCCGGACGTGCAGTTCTACACGGTTCCCGTTTGAGCTGCGGAGGTATACGAGGGCCTAGTCGCCCTTGTTAAAGATCTCGACTTTCTGTATGTCCTCGGCGGGCATATCGGTGTCGCCCCAGCCCCATATAGCGTTCTCGTGCGAGTGGTGATGCGCATCGGCCGTTCGCTCGTACTTCGTACCGTCGCCCGTTCTGGCCGCGCGTTTCTTCACTATGTTAGTCGCCACGGTCTTCAAGTCGTATGCCCAGCCGATCTTAGCGAACATATCGATGAAGGCGGTGGTGAAGTTGGTGCGATAGTTGCCCAATTCGGCGGCTTTGTAGTCCCACGGGAAGACGTGGTGGTAATTGTGCCAGCCTTCGCCGAATGCGGTGATGCCGACGCTGTAGCTGTCGGTAGGACTGATGGTGCTGAGGAAGTGAAGAGAGAAATAGAGATGTAGATAAGCGGGAAAAAATTGGTCTTATATAAATCGATGATAGATATTCTCATGTATAAACAAGAATATTATAATCATTGTTTACACAACCCGATAGATGGATAGATAGACAGATAGATAAATAGATAGATAGATAGATGCGTTTATTCTTGCTTTACGATTTTGTCCTCTGTAAGCATTATAAAAAGAAGTAAAGCGAAGGGAAAGAAATAATGAGAGGTAATTGATGGTGCTGCGAAAGAGAGATAATTAGATAGATCGACAGATAGATGCGTTATTTTCATTAGAGTTTTATCCTCTAAGAATGTTATGAAAAGAAACTAGAGAGAGAGAGAGAGAGAGAGAGAGAGAGACGGGAAACGACATCGTCGTGTTGTTCGCTTTGTTTCTGGCTCCGTGGCAAATAGCGTGTCGAATTTCGCGGTGAGAAATTTCGGGAATTTTGCGCTATTGTCATACACTCACTTGTCATACGGCTTCATGCCGTATATGTGAGCCGCAGAGTTCACCAGCCAGGTCAGGTTCAGCGATAACGTGTACCTCATGAGGCTGGCGTACCACGCGTACATGGGCTTCTCGTTCCAGAAGTAACACGGCACCCACGTGGGAATGAGGAAGCAACATAGCGGCATTAGGACGATGTACAACCTGGAAGAAGCGTGAGCTCGTGAGGTCCGACGCGTGAAATCCGCCTGAGATCCACGTGCGACGTTTTTGCTCGTCGGAGGAAACGCGTTCCTCGATAAACACCAAAAATTGTGTTTATTCGTTTACATCGCCAACGAATCTTTTTCTTTTTTTTCTTCGAAGAGGAATACTTTTTTTAAGAGAGAGAGAGAGAGAGAGAGCTTTCCTCGTATTCATCGTACAAGACGTCATATATGGCATTCCCTAGATCGAGTGTTGCGCAATTTCCAGTCTTACAGATAAAGTCGAACAATAATACAATTCTACCGTTATAAATAGTTATTTAAGCGATTTACATTTTATGTGCCTGAGACGGTACTTTGACTCTATGTTAAATTTTTTACAATACAGTAGGAGCTAAGATAACAAAGCTGTTCCATTCCAATGATATTCTATTAACATTCTAATTTAGTTCTATTTTGATCACAATAACGATTTAAACTCCCGTTATCGCGTGTTATCTTTAGCCGTCAAATAGATCAAATAGATTGCTTTACAATAGGATCTTGGATGTTAAAATTCTCATAGAGAAGTAAACAATACACAGCATCGTCAAAATATGTTTTTGTTAGTTTACAGGCCGTCTAAGTAGGCGCGAACTATCTTGAAGAATATCAAGTGGCATCAAAGTTGTGACTCGGACAAGGCAGCGAAAATTGTGTTCAGGTAATGGTACGGCATTTCTACGTGATGCTGAGATGGTACCTGCGTTGCCAGACGACGACCGGGTCCTTCTCGAGATCGCTCATATCGATCGTAGCACCCTTTCTGATGACGTCCGGGTGTTTGCGAACCAACAGCCAGCCCATGTGCGAGAAGAAGAAGCCCCTCTGCGCGTTGTGCGGATCCGCGTCCGTGTCCGTGAACTTATGGTGAACTCTGTGGTCCCTCACCCACTCATAGATGTGATTCTGCGAAACGTAAGTAAATAATAGACACCTTCCTCACCTGCAACTCCTCTCTTTCACTGTTGCAAATATTGACACGGCAAATTATGAATATATTCGTGATATTTGCAGTTGTAATTCGCGCGTATGTTATACAGTGTATTCCAAAATCATCGCATAGTTGAACGCATCGATTCTTAATGTCAAACGACGCAATTTTTCGTTTATATAAATATATATATATATATATATATATATATAATATTTATTATACTTATCGTTTTTCTAAGAGTAATTTTTTAGTTCCAAATATTATACATTTTTCCTCAATGTATTCTGAAACGTAAGAAGATCCGTAGGCTAAATATAACGCGTAGGCCACATAAAAAAAAATAAAATAAAATCAATGATTCAGTTCTGAAATTTCAAAGCGAAGTGCACTATTTCCTGATGCGCATAAACGAATCGCTAATCGATTCATAAAAATGAATCACTTATGAGGAAAAAAAAATTGGCGAGACATACTTGGAAGGCCGTCGTCTGGAGGATCATGAGAATGACTCTCAATGGCCACTTTGCTTTGTACGATCGATGAGCCCAAAGTCTGTGAGCGCCCCCGGTTACGCCAATGGCTGCGAGTGCTCCGATCGAAACAGCTGAAGGGTCATAATGACATTAAGATCAGAAATTAATGATTGAAATTGGAATTCAACGATATTCAACGGCCACTAATATCGCCGTTTTTCATGAGATTCTTCACGTGGCGAGGCAATCGCGATTGTCATCATTATTAAGATTGCATTCCGACATTCACTCTACCAATACTGAATATTTATAATTTATGTCACGTATATTATAAATTTTCAGTTACTGGCGGTAAATATCGAAATGCAGCCCTATTGTATCATGTCTGTCACGGCTGTCGCGATACCATTCAAAGAAATATGATAATAGACCAATAATCATTTGTGTAACATGTTTCTTATCAATGCTGCACTTATATGGCGCAAATATCTTACATAAAATTGTGTCGAAATAAACACGAGACGGTAGAAACATGAAATAAAACATATTTCCACTCGGTGTGGATACCAACAATATATTTAGTTAAATATAAAAATTCTTTTATTTAAATAGAACAAACAGTTGCATTTTCATGAAGAACTACGGTTTTAACATGTTGCGTGCCGCGCGAGCCATCGGTAGTCCACGCGGCGTGAAGTGGAAAGTCACGTGAAATTGGCGCGGCACTCAACGCGTTAAGAACATGTATAATTTTCCCGTTCGAGAAGTATTTTTTCTCAGCGTGAAAATCCATGCGTATTAGCACATACAAGTGAATATGCGTCAGACCCTGTTAAAAAAATTCTTTCGTTACTCAGAAACCTCTTCTCTCAGTGTATGAGTTCTCGAATTACGTTGATTTTTCCGTATTTCTGGTGACTCGTCTGACGACACGGTGACGATTTTCGTAGAATCAGTCGGAAATTACAAACGCGACAGTCAACGAGAGACGATCGTAATTATTCGTGTTGTATCGGCGAATTTATCAGCTTAAACCGGACATACTCCAGATCGTCGTGGACCATTTGGCGACCGTTATCAAAAGATAGAGCCCGTAAAGTGCGCCCAGATGAAGATAGACGAAGGCTATCACGTTCCGCCAGACGATCTTCCATTGGTACTTAGGCTTCACACTCTGCGTCTTCTGCAACGACGGCAGCTTCTGCGCAGCGCTCTTCTCCGATGACGGTTTATTCTGCGAAACGTCCTGCTGAGTGGCCTCGAGGAACAAGGTCGCGGAAGTGCCGAACAGATTCGGCGCCATATTGCCGGAGTGTCTGCAACGAACAGGTTGGTCTCGGTTAGGAGTTGGAAAAATTCCGCCGGATCGTCGGCGATTGAACGGTGGCGGAAAATAATATATTTAAGTTCCCTCATTCATTGGTTTACTAGAAAATAAAATTTCATTTCCCCATATTTAAATAAACATTTATTTCTGTGAAATGAACCTTACATTTCGCAGATAAACTTTTAACTCTTCTCGGTGTAGTCAGTCTCGTGATTTTGATATCATTTTAACATAATCGTGACTTTCTATTCAAATAACGTGTGAAAAATGTAATCGGTCGTGCTGTAATAAAACGCGACGACTATATAAATATTTATATGTATGTAGTCAACATATATATATATGTAGTCAGTCCCGTTGATCACGGCCGGCGTGTACAGCAACGGCGAACCGGTAGCGCCGGATCCTTCCGGCTACAATATGGGTGTTCCACTTTTGCTTTTTCTCTTTCGTTTCGTTTCGATGCGCTTAAGAAATAGCGGTACTCTCGCAGCGTCGTCGTAGTCTTCGTCGACGGGCATCGTGCGGAATTCGCGGTTCCCCAGTGACTCGAGTGATTCGAGCGTGTGTTACGTGTAGCATATGACGATTTCTTTCGTGCTTTCCAAGCGGCATCAAGTGCCGTTAATGTGCCACATGCGTGGAAAGTGGGCGCGCTCTCAGGAAGAATCCTACCGCTTTTAGCTTTCGACGTAACGCTACGGTGAAGCCGACGACGACGACGACGACGAAGAATCGAGTCTTACGCCGGACGCGAAACCACATTTCCGACATGTTCGAGAAGGACGAGAAGAACGAACGCGTCTCCTCAAACGCGAGCCGTTGTCACGGCCGACGCTGACGGCCCTTCACGGCGCGACGAAGAAGTGGTATGTCGCGATCGTTGCACCAGAGCGGCCCGGTAATCGCCCGGTGACGAATTGCATTAGAACGTCGCAATTTTCTTGCGACTTGGCGTATTTGACGACGAAACGGACGAATGGTTTTCCACTTTATTGCGCTTATCTCATGACAGGTGTGATCGTTGTGAAAGTGTATATATATATATATATATATATACAGTTTCACGATATTCAAGTTATTTAATAATGTAGGAGAAAAGATTCCCAAGTATGTCAAAGTATCATCGAAATTTCCGCTCGAGATAACAGGGCGATGCAAAATAGAACGTGATACACCGTCACTTTCCACCGTGACGATAAGCGCAATAAAGTGGAGAAATTAGTATCAATTCAAGAGAGTTTCATATTCTCGTACACAAATAAGAACATTATAGTCTGACGCAAAGATAACACTTGCTTGCTATCAAAGGAAGAAGTGCTGAACATTATAATTATACAAGAGCAATTTAGTCATACATAGTGTAAATGTTAGTTTTACGATGAGTCTTTCAGCGGAGAAAACGGCAGTGACTTCTCCATTTCTAGCGCAAAAGAGAGGCTACGATAGAAGAACACTTTTGAACGCTCAGAGTCGAACTAAATTAGACTTAAGCTAGGACGAAAATTTCGACTCGGGATCGAAACGCCTTCCGTTTGGCGCGATCGCCGAGATCGTCGAGTTTCTCGAGGTATCCTCGCGGAAGCCTCGAGTGCGGGGACCGCGAGTGAGATGCGCCTGATATCGCCGGCTTCGGCGTCATCAGAAGCTGCTCGAGCTTGCTTTTCATAGAACATGCAGAACATAGTAGAGCGGAAAGTTCTGATCGATGCGCCTCGAAGTCGCGAGGGACGCGAGGGAGGAATGTGGATACTTTCTGCGTCCCCCAGGCGAGTTGGACGCGAAGTAGCCGTTGTCAATCGGTCGTCTTCTCCACCACCTTCTCTTCGTCTTCGTCACACACTTTCAGCTCGACGCAAGACGCGAGAACGTGAGTTATGTAGGTGCCCTACTTCGGGATATTCCTTTCTGCCGATGATCTGGCTGTTCGGCGGACTATACAATCTCTCACAGCGTCGAGAGCTACGCATAATTTAACGGAACTTTATTCGCGACCACGCGACTCGCGGTATCCGCGTTCACCGTTTCACCAATCCCGATTAGTTCACCCGACCCGTTTTTCACAGCAATAAATTCGTCCATATAGTCGTTTTTACGTGTCATTAATGCTCGCTCGTTCGCTGCTAACTGCGATATTCGTAATCTTCGTGCCCACAGTAGTCCGTTACATATTTATTAGTCGTTAAGACATGACAACGTCCGGAAGCAATCAGTCGATCAAACGTTCGGTCGGTCGGTCCAGCCTCTCCTCCCCCTTCCCTTGATATGTCGCTTCGCGAATCTGTGACAATTGTCGTGCACGAGGCGTCGTCGGCAGATCGACCATTGTTGCCTCGAGATTGCAAGAGGCCGTTCATCGAGCGAAATCGTATCGCGAGATGAGTATAAAATCGTCAAGAAATCACTTTCCCCCCCGTCATTCCGCGGCTACACACTTCGATATTATCATCGCGACTTCGATCTCGCGATTTTGTGACGGTCAAGAGCCGCCGTGGTCAACGTTGGGTTTCTTCTTGAAAATTCTACGGACGGAATGTAGAGTTTTTGTCTGCAAAATTTACGTCTCATTGGTTGCACGGAATTACAAATGTTTCTACATAGTACGTGCGAAAATGAATTGGAAGATTATCCAATATGCGGCGGAAGCGATGAAAAATTTCAAAACTGAAATCTCAACCTGTCGAATAGCCATTTGTAAACAAACAAAAATTTTGCATCGAGTATATTTGTTCCGATGAGGAAAATTTCAAGTATTTTTCAGTATGCAAACATTTCATTTTATGCTTTGTGATGGCATTGCGACAGCGCAAAATGTTTCAGATAGGTTTGCTTTAAGAAATATTCATTTATTACGCCAAACTTTTAATCGAAGTATTGACTTATTGTTACTACGATCATTTCGGATTAATTGCGTTCTCTTTCAAGCAAAATGAGCAACAATATTTGTGGCATCAGACAACTTTTTCACATACCGATAAAATACTTGTTGTATAAGGACGCATTTTAACGTACTTATGCCAGTCTCGATGCAGACAATATATCGAATTATGTCTATCTGGTTTTCTGTATTTTTACTTGCGCATAAGTCTTGAAAAGATACGGCAAGTTTGCAGAAAAATCGTTACATATGGATGCCCAAGGAGAATGCAGCTATAATAAAACAAAGTAGCGTAAAACTATTTAGCGTCAACTTATTTACATTCATATCGTAAATCCATATTTATCTTTAACCTATAAGTACAAGGAATATAAACAGAGTATATATAAATAAAATATACATATATACATGTATAATTTTTTTGTATAAAACGTATTTAAAACGTAGTATACGTATAGTAGTACGTAGTATAAAACATATAATTTTTTTAGTATAAAACGTATTTTTACACAAAATTCTTTCGACTTTATGTATATGATAAAACAATTGGTATTGCAATACATTTAAAATAAAAACAACTACAATATATATATATATAGTTGAATATTTAAAGAAATATATATTATTTGATACTAAATAACATTACCGGAATATTATTAGAATATTACATTTAACATTCTAAAAATATGCCCAAAATATTACTTAATATTAAATAATATTATAGGGCTTACAGGGGTGGAATAGAGGATAAGATATAAGAACGTTTTAAAACGAGTTCACTACTTTCACTATTTTCTAACGAACCTCTACCGTCGTCATCAGCCCGAGAAATCTTTTTCGAATATCCGCACATCCGACCGTTTTCTCTGCTCTTTTTATAGTTTTGAAGATTAGCTAACCAGACTTTGCCCCTTAAAAAGCGTTTCGATTTGTTCGCTTATTCTTTCGTGCGCCTTACATGCTTGGCACACGTCGGTTTATGGGGATGCGCTATATTCTCACCGAATTTCGATGAAAATCACATTGACCCCGACATCGTAAATATACCATCCCCTCGTTTATCCAATTATCGACGGACACCCGCGAATGTTCGGCAATAAACGCCGTGGTGGAGGTTCGCGTGAAAGGTTCGCGCGAAATTGCCGGCGGAAAGAGAGAGGTCTCCGTTGTCGTCGTTGTTTGCGGGAAAATACAAGCTCGCGAGCGCGCATCGCTCGCTGCAATGTGAGAAATCGCGCAATCGACGAAAAAACCCCCCCGACGGATTGAAAGTGAGAGCTTAAAGACCATCGTGTGGAAAGTGCCGGCGTCATCTCTGAAAATGATCGTGCCGCGCACGTTTACACTAATCAGCGAATCAGCCAATGGCGGCGGGTGGTGGTCGCAGGTGTAGGATCGCAACCTCCACGAAGTGTTTCAATATCTAAGTGGTATTTTGCAGATTGACTGACGTTGATTATTAACTCATCTCGCGAGGCCAGGCTCGGCGAGGCTGCCATTTTTGTGTCACGCTATCGCAACACGATCACAACAACAACAACCCATCTCGTTCCCCCCTCGTCCTCTTTATTGCCTATCTCGTAAACGCTTATTTATTCTTAACCAATCGTCGGGTTTACGACGCGTTAAGAGTCGGGAACGTGTGATTGCGAACTTTAACGCGAGATCGCGACTAATTGCGTACGAGGGGCTCTCTCAGATTCTGCGAAACCGCGAGGCGAAAGGCGCCTGTAATTAGAACGAGCATCGACGCGCGTCTAATCGCGATAAAGCAAACGAGACATCTCGAATGGAAGAAATCTATTATGCGCGCCCGGGAAAGTAAGACACGTCCGTTGCGGGATCACAGCGTTTCTCGCCGCTTCGGAGGTGCTTACGGGTATTCTCATCATGAGAGATCCGCTCGGATCATTTATCAGGTGGAGATAACAAACCCGTTTCAGGGTAGGTGTCTTCCCCGGAAAGGGAGATGATCATACGTGAAATTTGTTTATATACGACCATGTATAATCGTAATATGTCCACAACGAAAAAATAGTGTTGTTTACGAATTATACGAAATTATATGCAAATACGGAGCGCTTCCAGCTGTTTGTGCTTCTGATAATACA